AAAATTCAGACGCTTGGCAACTGACTCGTATTTATGACGGTTGAAGTCTCACGCGATCCCCTTTTGCGATCTTCTGACAAGCAGAACCAATGGGGACGCCAGAGTCACTTAACAACCGCGCAGCTCACTTAACGGCGTGATTCGGGTAATGACTTTGGCAAGAGAGGTTGTCAAATGTGGTAACATTCGCTTCATCTCACTTACCAACAACAACCAAAAATTGGGCTCAATTGGGCTTGTAGACGGAGAACTACCTGTATAGCAATGGAGGCAGATAGTTTGTTCTCTCTCTCTAAAAATCCCTTCAGATGAATAAAAGACCTTATGCACATTTTCATCTCTTTTTTTTTTTTTTAAAAGGGACAAGATCAACCAAGCTTAGGAAACAGGTTGTGCCCCGCGCCAATTTTAAAAACTCACCTTGCATTCCTGGAGTTTTTCCAAACACTCCTGGCAAACCTTCTCATAGTTGAGGCGAATTCTCATCATGGACTGGACGTTGTGAGTGTCTTGAGGTGAGAAAGAAAGAAAGAAAGAAAGAAAGAAAGAAAGAAAGAAAGAAAGAAAGAAAGAAAGAGGAAGGAAGGAAGGAAGAAAGAAAGAAGAAAGAAAGAGAGAGAAAGAAGAAAGAGAAAGAAAGGAAAATAAAAAAGAATAAAGAGAAAGAAAGAAAGAAAGAAAGAAAGAAAGAAAGAAGAGGGAGGGAGGTGAGAAGAGGGGAAAGGAAGGATAGAAAGAAAAAAAAGAAAGGAAGGGCAGAAGAGAGAAAGAGAAAATAAAAAAGAAAGAGAAAGAAAGAAAGAAAAAAAAGAAAGAAAGAAAGAAAGAAAGAAAGAAGAGGAAGGGAAGTGAGAAAAGGGAGGAAGGGGGAAAGGAAGGAGGGAAGGGACAAAGGGAGGGACGGAGAGAAGGGGAAGGAAGGAAAGAAGGAAAGAAGAGAGGAAGGAGAAAGGAAACGAGGGGGAAGGAAAGAAAGAAGGGAGGAAAGAATGAGTGACAGATAGAAAGAGAGAAAGAAGAAAGGAAACACGAGGGAAAGAATGAATTTGGGAACACCTTCTTAAAATCCAAGCTACTGCCAGGCAATGGAATGGGCTGCCAAGTGGGGTTGACTTATGAGAAAGCGAACTCAAGCCTCAACTCAAGTGGGCGACTTTGACTTAGTCAATAGTCTTTCTCTCTCTGCCCAGCCTACCCCACAGGGTTGGTTATTTTAGGGAAGAAATCCAGGGAAGGACCCTGAATGTGGGATCTCAACCACCCCGTCCGTCCGCGTCATTATTCCCCACTCCCCCGTCCCCCTGATCCCCGGACGACTCTGCTCCTTACCTATCTGTTTATTTAAATCCACCAGCGACTCGTACCATGCGTTGATTTCAGCCTTGGTATGCTCCAAAGGCAACAAAGAGCTATGGGGAAAAAAAGGGGGGAAGAAGCAAAAACACGTTGAAGAGAAGGAGGGTTTCATTTGGGCAGAAACACGCAAGGTTTGGGTGAAAGGATAAAGGAAAACTCCCAAAAAATTGGTAGAATTGAGGTTTCAGGGCAAGGATTTCGGGCAAAAGGGCCACCTTTTCAACATTTCAGATTAAAAACAGAAATATACAGGTTGTCCTTGACTTAGAAGCATTCATTCACAAAGGCACTAAAAAAAAATGAACCACTGTTCACACTTTAACAACCGTTGCTGTGGTCACGGGATCAAAATTCGGACCCTTGGCAACTGGCTTGCATTTATGACGGTGGCAGTGGTCACATGAGATCCCCCTTTGCGACTTTCTGACAAGCCAAGATCACGGGGGGAGACCGATTCGCTGAACAACTTAAACAATTGCCGTGATCCGCTTAACAGCTGTGGCAAGGAAGGTCGCAAAATAGGGCGAAACTCACTTAACAACCGTCTTGCTCAGCAGCGGATGTTTTGGGCTGAATTGCGGTTGTAAGTCGAAGACTGGAAGCTTCTTTTGGGATGGTAAAGATTCCCCTCGCACATCTGTGCTAGTCGTTCCTGACTCTAGGGAGCGCTGCTCATCTCCGTTTCAAAGCCGAAGAGCCAGCGCTGTCCGAAGACGTTCTCCGTGGTCATGTGGCCGGCATGACTCAACGCCCGAAGGCGCACGGAACGCTGTTCCCTTCCCACCAAAGGTGATCCCTATTTTTCTACTTGCATTTTTACGTTGTTTCAAACTGCTCAGTTGGCAGAAGCTGGGGTAAGTCACAGGAGCTCACTCCGTTACGTGGCGCTGGGAATCAAACAGCCGAACTGCCAACCTTTCTAATCGACAAGCTCAGCATCTTAGCCACTGAGATGGTAGTTGTCTACTAATATGCAGGTAAGTTCATATAGTGACCGTTGAAAGTTACAATGGCAAAATTCACTGAACAAATCTTTCACTGAAGAAGAGAAATTTTGATCCCAGTTGTTGTCTTTAGTGGAGGGCTACCTGTAAATGGAACAGTTCCTTCCAACCTTCCTCGGCCAGGTCTGGGCCCTCCCCAGAAAGGAACCTGCATTCTTATTTTAATATTTTTTTATATTTATATATTGTATAAACAGAAGGATAGAATCAAGATCACGTGAAGTGTTAATACCACTTTATAAGGCCTTGGTAAGGCCACACTTGGAATACGGCATCTAGTTTTTGTCACCACACTATAAAAAAAGATGTGAAGACTCTAGAAAGAGTGCAGAGAAGAGCCACAAAGATGATTAGGGGACTGGAGACTAAAACATGAAGAACACTTGCAGGAACAGAATATGTCTAGTGTGATGAAAAGAAGGACTAGGGGAGACATGATAGCAGTCTTCCAATATCTCAGGGGCTGCTACAAAGAAGAGGGAGTCAAACTATTCTCCAAAGCACCTGAGGGTAAAACAAGAAGAAATGGGTGGAAACTAATCGAGGAGAGAAGTAACTTAGAAATAAGGAGAAACTTCCTGACAGAACAATGAATCAGTGGAACAACTTGCCTCCAGAAGTTGTGAATGCCCCCAACACTGGAAGTTTTAAAGAAGATGCTGGATAGCCATTTGTCTGAAACGGTACAGGGTTTCCTGCCTAGGCAGGGGGTTGGACTAGAAGACCTCCAAGATCCCTCCCATCTCTGCTATTGTATTGTATTGTATATTTTTTATGTTCACCTACCCCAGGGAGAATAAATGCTCGTTCCTTCTTTGGGCCAGAATTCTCTGATCTTCTAGCATGGACTCCAGTTCCATTTGCACAGAAATTGGGTTCTGTATTCTTTCACTTTCCATAAACTCTCTGTAAGATTAAAAGCAAATGCCAGGTGAGGAAAAGGGGAAGATTTTCTTTTTAAAAAGGAAAGGCTTTCAGAAAACTCCAAAGGAGGAGGCTGACTGTGGTTTTATTTAGTAGGTCAACGTTTTTAAAACTATGTTCTGCAGAATCAGGAGGAGGAGGAGGAGGAGTGTGGGGTCCTTGGTGCTCCCTGAGCTTGGGTGGTTTTCTTGTAGACATTTCATGACCCAGCTAGGTAACATCATCAGGGCTACAAAGGAGGGAGTTTGTGAAAAGGAGGAGGAGAGGAAGAAGAGGAAGGGAAAAGAGGAGAAGAAAAGGAGGAGGAGGAGGATTGTGGGGTCCTTGGTGCTCCCTGAGCTTGGGTGGTTTTCTTGTAGACATTTCATGACCCAGCTAGGTAACATCATCAGGGCTACAAAGGAGGGAGTTTGTG